GGGCGTAATCAACAAAAGCTTAGACAATATAGATGGAACAGCATTAATAGCCTTATTCCTCGTAAAACAATCAGGAGAATGGAGGGATAGTTGTGATATTCCGGCTTAGTGCCGTTATCGAAAGGAATATCGGTAGTAAATTAAAAGAGGCGCAAAACTGTGGCGACGATACAAGAAGCTTTTCCCCCGGATTTTCCTTCGAAAATGGCGATCAGCTGTGACAACGAGCCAAAGTTTTCAACCAACGTACACATGCGACAATGCAATTTCGTAAAAGGCACGAAACTATCGCGACGATACCAAAAGCTTTTCCCCCGGAGTTCCCTTCGGAAATGACTATCAGCTGTGACATAATCTGAACATGAGTATTCATAACTAAACCCACCGCAGATTCACACCTGTCAGCTCGCGTGTGCCAGACCGTACGACCATTCCTAGCCAACCCTCGTCAGCGAAGAGAACTAAGTAAGCATCCTCATATCCCTTTTACCACTAAGGCGCTGTGGCGCTAGCGCTGAGTCGTGTCGTGCAGTAACCAGGCATATTCCATAATAGCACTTCCCATCAGGATCCCTGTAGGTGGCGGGGGGGGGGGGGGGGTGAATTCGTGGGCAGGGGAGCTATCCCCCCCCCTCCCCCTCCCGGCTTCCGGCAATATTTAGCGTTAGCTCTATGGCGGTGAATGGACATATACGACACGCAAATCGCGTTTGTCCCCGATCTCACCGAAATTATTTCGTCATTTATCAAGGCCGCATTACCTTCTCTACGATGCACTACTACAGTGAGAAACAAATGCATAATGGTATTTGTATTATTGTGGCATTACTGACAGTTGTATTAGGTGATTTCTCTCCACGTTTTCTTCCATGCTGAGGAAAAAGAAGACCGAGCAATCTAGCCTTGCTGCGGTTTAAAATGTAGTCTTCCACATTTCTATGGAGTTCTGAACTAAAATAGCCATCTAGAAGATCATTCGTTGCAGTTCGCAGCCATGGTCTTCTTAAGTCCAAGTCCCTCTAGTTTCTGAGCTACGCCCATGCGAAGATGTGCAGACTAATTCGTGGGGACTTTTAAATGTTGTATGATGTACGATCAAGTGATCAAACAATGATGTATTGATGGGCATATTTACAAAACAATGAAATTGTTTTGTATAGAGCAGTCCGTTCCACTTAAAAAGTACAACAATAATAGTATGCATATGAATAAGAGAGCCTAATTCATCATATCTGATGCTTGCTTCAAAATCTTCAAATATCCCTTTAACATAGCCAAACGTGGATGTCTTATCATTGTGTCACTCCCGTTCCATGCAAAGATTCATCTGAGACGACCCTGCTGTTTACCACGAACAGATTTATACTTGTGTGTGTAGTTTGTAGATATCTCACTTTACAAGCTGGCTGAACAGGCTTACTTACAAAGTTCTAGTCCGAAACAGATCATGTGCATTCCATTTCATTTCATGGCTACGTCTGCTTCAGTCTAGCTCCGTTCGGGCATCCAGGTTTTATCTGCCATGATGGAAGCACACATTTTGCAAGGTCCCGTGACGTTAGAAGCCATATCAGATGACGGCTGCCCAACATCAGTCATTATTTATTAGCTCTCGCGCCGACCTTGGTCGTCGAGCGCCGCCGCGCGCGCAGAATTTCCGCCGGTGAATTGATAAATGGGAAGGCCAATTTGAACGTGGTCCATCTACATCTACATACACAACAATCAAAGAAATGCACTTTTATGGTTTATTGTGTGAAACATGTTTCGATGCCAGCAAAGTACAGATTTTCAAGTGGTACCAGGTCACTAGGGAAACATGCCGCCTGCGCAGCTGGTACAAAATGTTTGGCAGAATCGTTCCATTACAGTATGGTGCGCTCAACTGCAGTGTTACGAATATTGGGTTCACTGTCAACCACCCCCCCCCCTCCCTCCTCGGGTGACTTGTAAGCAGGTAAAAATCCAGTACTTACATTGAGTCATACCCACGGCTTCTTGGGTCCACGGTCGAACGAATTCTGTAGGAATGGTTTTGAAGGTTCTTCTGAGATATCACCAACCATACAAATGGGGTCCGCGGCATTTCCACTGGGATCTGACAGCCAAGCCAAGGAGAGACGGCGCATGGATGTGCGCCAAGCGTCTCCAAGGCGAGAACATCATAAGATGCCGATGTTTGATTGCGCGTGGCTTTCCCGGGCTTGCTGACTGCATGAAACGCCGCTTCTCACCCACGCTCCTGAATGTGTGGTACCTATAACGCTTACGGTCTCTAAGTATAAGAAAATATATAAGAAAAATCCTTCGCGGCAGAGTGAGCAATTATAGGTATATATATATATATATATATATATATATATATATATATATATATATATATATACCTATAATTGCTCACTCTGCCGCGAAGGATTTTTCTTATATATTTTCTTCTATATATATATATATATATATATCTATATATATATATCTATATATATATATATATATATATATATATATATCAGCGATGACTTAATTTGTGAGAAGAGGGGTAAATGTACTTTCAGTGGTGCTTTACCGAAAGGGTGGTGTCAAACATTTCCGCAAGTGGAAAGGAAATATCCCCGTTGCGACGCCTCTGTTCTGCCGCAATGACGGCCGCATACAGACCCAGAAATGATGGCTGCACGCGTACCTCGGCGCATCAGCCAGTGCCAAGCGTTTGGTACAGCTACGATGCGACGGGTCTCGGTGCTACGAACACAGGAGACAACAACATTGCTGACAGGCTACTACCGCAAACCCATTGATGACAGCCACTTTGGCAATGCTCGTATCCAGAGTGAAGAGGAACTCGATAGATGAATATATATATATATATATATATATATATATATATATATATATATATATATATGCTGACAGGCAACTACCGCAAACCCATTGATGACAGCCACTTTGGCAACGCTCGTATCCAGAGTGAAGAGGAACTCGATAGATGAATATATATATATATATATATATATATATATAATCATGCATATATACGTATATGTAACTGTATATTTCACGCCATATTCTAGCCGCTGGTGTTTTGGGCGAGGCTGGGCTTGCGTGACATCTGGCGCTAAGCGCGGGACCAATCGACAGTGTAATCTGCCTAATGGCCCTGACAAATAGATAAGTCGAGATCTGTATATAGACACGGCCCGTGCACTCGCTGTTTGCAGGCCGGTCTATGGGGTAACTGTGACACGACGCGCACTAATCAGGTGAAAAATAGGATGAGTTATAGTGTCTGCGTGCGGTAGTGATGAGCGGTGAGGTGTAGGATAGGGCATATGGTATACAATAGCCCTTTTCACCCTAACATTCACGTCAGCATTGGCATAATACTCACCTTTGCCAAATCTGAAAATCTGATCTGATCAGATTTGCCAAATCTGAAAAGCACGAACACTAGTAAAACAAGAGGTAACCCCATCAAATGTTGTCGAGTTTATCAAAATCGGTGATCCACTTTACTGCACAAGCGTTTGTGCTTCGTCATTATGCACTTTTTGTCACTTCACGTGTTCCGCACCTTATGATTTGGTCTCATGGTACCAAGTTCTCAGGCGTAAAATGATGAAAAGGTACGCGATGAAACAAAAACGCACGCGAAGCACCACGTGCCGGCTATATTGATAGAACTGACGGTACGCGATGTGTTTCGTCCCTACTTAGCCTTTTTGAGCACATCTTATTTGGCATCGAAGTAGGTTTCTGTCCATAATAAAATCACCGTGAAAAGGGCAATGGTAATCAGATGAGCTTACCACATTACGATACGCGGGGGTACCTATTACCTCGTACCACGTAGTACCACGCACCTATGCAGGAAGTGCAGCGACCTGATATTGCATATCCCTGAAGCCGTTTTTGCCTTACACGCAAATCAGGTGACACCTGGTGCAGTGTGGCCCAGCTCGGTCGCTGTTTTGTCCACCTTATTTAGACTTTTCACACCGGTCTGTAACGGTAGCGGTTTGGGCCATGTGTTGCTCACCGCACCAGCTGCTTGCATCCTTCTGTCAGAACTAGGAGAAGATGACAAATATGTTAGGACTCAGATGGACGAGTTTTTTACCGCCAGAGCAGAGGTAGGGTGTCAAGGTGAGGCCAAAGGAGCGCAGCGTCATGCGAAGGCCGAGGTCCCAGCGGTGCTTCAACGCAGGCCAACAAAAAGTTGTCTAGACACTTCAAAGAAAGGCCAGGGATCAAGGCAGGCGAACTAAGGCATCCAGCAGCATCTCTACGTGACAATGCACGCTAGAGCCGGACTGCAAACATGGTGGTAACAGGTCGCTGCTGGAAATGCGCTCCAGCCTAAGGTTGGTCAAAGGTTTTTGTGGTGACCTTGGCAACCCGGCTCGTTGTGTGGTAATACTGGCGGCACTGTATTTAGAACAAGCCTTATAAGGGAACGGGAAATATGCCTTTTACAGAATGGACGCCGTCAAGCCAAAGTCCCCAGCTGTTGTCCAAATGCCACTACTCAGAAATGGTGACGGGCTCATTTTTTGTGTGCCAGCCATCTGATGGCGGGACGGGACGAACTGGAGACCTCATTCTGTGAGACCACACACATCTGCAGACTGAGACAACTCCTGCCGTCATCTGCGGCCGGTGTACTGGTACGTTTGACATACGCGACGTCTTGTGGACCTTAACGGGGCTCTGTGATAGTGCGTTTTGCGAGACCTAGCGACGGTACTATAACTATACCGAAAATGAGATCAATCGAACTAGAATACATAAATTTCAACACGTAAATCCTGGCACGCAACAGACTCCAGTAGCAAGCCCTAGCTTCTGTCCTCTGTGATCTCAAAGAGAGCGAAGCCTGGCTGACAAGCCCGTCACCATTTCGCCGCCTCACGTGCTTGTCTGCTGCCTCGCCCCCCAGCCGCCGGGCGGCGCCAGCGTCGCGTCCCGCCGACCGGCCGTCGCCGTCCCAGTCCCGTGTCCGACGCGCCGCCGGTGACACGAGAATGACGTCCGTCAGCCCCGCCGCGGAGGAGGCGCCGGCGCCGCGCCTCTGCCGCCTCGTCAAATGGTCCAGCTTCCAGGGCTACGGCTTCAGCCTGCACACGGAGAAGGCGCGGCCCGGCCAGCACATCGGTATCGTGGACGCCGGCTCGCCGGCCGAGGCGTGTGGCCTGCGCGAGGGCGACCGCATCCTGGAGGTGAACGGCGCCGCGATCGCCGGTTGGGGCCACACGCAGGTGGTGGACGGCATCAAGGCCGACCCGGAGCGCGTCAGCCTGCTGGTGGTGGACGAGACGACGGCCGAGTACTACGCCAGCCGCGACGTCACCATCACCGGCACCATGCCGGGCGTGCTGGTGACGTCGGCTGCCGGGCGCGAGCCTGCCGGCGCCGCGCAGGTGAGACGACGGCACGCGGCCCGGGTCTTCCCGGCGGTGTGCGTGCGGTGAGGTTTCCCAGGTGCTGGGGACGGCGGCCGCAGGGCAGCGAGCGACGCGGCCGCAGGGATCGGGGAGGCGGCGGCATCTGCTCCGAGCACCGGAGACCGCGGCCGAGAGCCAGCGGCTACCGTCTCTGAGCCTCTGGGCAGGTGTCGCAGCATCTCCTGGTCTCGATAGCCGTAGTTGGATGTGCTTTGACTGATGATCGTGACGAGGGAATGTGAGTCGGAGTTGTTCAGAGCTCACGCTGAGAATAAAAACTCAGCATGGGATTAGGTCTGGAGATGGTGGAAAGCATCAGTCTTCGTTTCCCTTTGAGGAGATTCGTTTGTTTACTGGTACATATCTATCGGTCGGTATATCTATCTGGCATGTTGGACCCGTTGCTCACCTGAGTTACAGGACCTGAGTAAGATGTGAATGCATATGATCTTATTGAGATCCTTAAAGGTTAAGATGCTATTTGTCTTTAATTGGCCCCCTCAGTATGGGTTGCGTCTAGCTCTATTGCTTTCTCGTAACCTTTTCACTAGGGGCCTGAAGGACATCCATCAGGCTTAAATCTATCCATTTAATCCCTTCCATAGTCTTGGCGCAAAAGCTCCAGCGAAAAACTACCGTGGATAAAGCACTGCTGTTTTTCCAGCACATTTGCACTGGAAACACCGTTACATTAGCTTTTCGTGATTGGAGGTGTTACCATTTCCATCGGAGTGTATTGTATCCTGTTTCAACACTTCATATGTTTTGTATGCATGTTTCGTCATCACGTCACATGGCACGTAACCACGCGCATCATGTCTCCTTGCGACGTCTCGGAGCCATATCATATAGAACATGGGAGAAGAAAATTTGTCATGTTTGATCACCAGAAAACGTCTCTGACCAAACGCTGCGCGACAACACCTCGGGGATGGGGCGTCCTGAGCCTGGGCCTGAGCGTCCCAACAACACACGGGGTTCGCCGTGTCACTTTCACCGAGCCCCGATGCACAGAGGGGGCTGCCGGCCGCGGTCAGGCCGGTGCCGAACGTGCCGCCCGAGCCGGGTAGGCCAGGGACGGTCCGGGTCAGACGCCGGGAACCGGTACACGATAGCAATCCGCCCAATTACCATGGCAAATCGGGTCTCTCCAGCATGGCGGGCGCTGCACTCGTCAGGGGACGGCGGCGTACTCGGGGCGGTCCGAGTGTGGCAACCGACATCACACGGCCGAGCTGCGTCTATCACTGAATATTCTACTTCGAACCACCGTAACTGTGCACTTCGATTGGCCCGCTTAAGTCTGCGCGATGTGGAGCCACTCTCGCTGGTAAACCCACGGCATCTATCAGCCCTTCGGCCATCAAGTCCACTTTTGGGTGAACACCATCAAATCCGTTTGTGCCATTGATTTTTCTCTGCAGGCAACGACGACCTCACAGCCTTTCGCACCGGGCTGTCTTTTTTAATTTGGATTACTACCAAACTGCTGTGCAGCCACACCGCCCTGCTACACCTCTGCAGCCCTTGACCAGAGAGGCGGTCGAAAAGCCTGCTTGCCTTAACCTGGCCGGCTCAGACGTCGGACTGAGCTGAGAGCGGTCTTGTGGCCTGGCATCTCAGGCGCCGCCGTAGCTGATTGACTACTCCACGGGCTAACAAGGCTGCTCAGTGATGCTCAGCAGTCTAAAACCTCAACAATGTAGTGAATGCCACGCGGAGCTTGCGGCGAGTTTGTACTTGCGTAACCGTCTTCTAAGGCGCCTAAGCTCGCGACGCTTAAGCTTGAAGGAAAGACGCTTAAACGGTCTGTTCTGACCACTTTCCGCGATTGTTTTGTTGGCCAGGCCCGAGCCAAGGATAATTGGATTTCTCCAACACATTAGCCCTCACGGCAACCTTAGAATTTGCCCAATTTTACAAACCGCTAGTCTCTAGAACGTCGATGTCCTCGCGCGCGTGTCCAGTCACCAGTTAATTAACCGATTCCACGGGTAGCGTGCCAGGGCTGGTGCAAAACATCCCCACATCTCACGCACATCCGGCGCTCAGCACGCCGTGAGTGCCGCAGTGTTTTGGGAGTGCCGCTACTACCGCAGGAGCGATTGCGGAACGGACGCGTAAGGAAACCTGTCAAAGCACGGGTAATCGTTGTAGCCGATGGTGAAGTCACGCATGTAGAAATATCCTTCCAGCGAGTGCACATGTTCAAAGCTCCCCAGAAGACGTAGACACGACGTATGTTTAGAGTTCAACACTTATATTTCGCCAATGCTTTTTCATTTAAACTGTATATCTGAGTGATCTGGCTGATGGGCGATCTGAAATCAAATTCATTGCTTCATCGCGTCGATTTCGCAGACCCGCTCAGCAGACAGAACAGCACTTTAGTGCTATGTAACCTGGAAAAGTATCACACCGCCAGGACGCGGACACAAATCGTGAGATTTTGAAGAAGTTCTACGTTTGCACCCTTTTTTGATGATGATGCCCTACGAAATGGAATTTAACCTGACTTATTTGTTTTGAGCGGCTCTTATAAAAAATATCGCGGACGCACTTCTTATTCAATATAAGTTGGGAATCCAAGATGACACAGCCAACACCTTGCTGGGACGCGTTATCTGGCTTGCAACATTGGTCGGGAACGGAGCGCAGCATCGCACAATTCCTCGACTGCTTACTATTCAGTAACGACTTGTACCTCATCCTGCAGAATGCAACGCAGACAATCGGAGTTTTAAAAATGGTGAGCTGTTTACATCACTGAGAGCTCTAGTCAGCTCTTGATACAGCTGCTGTGTCCTTGGCTGCTCCTATGTTACACAACCGGTCTCTATTTATAACGTGCACTGGCCGATTCGGATGGCGTTCCCGGAGCCGATAAGTTCACATGCGAGGTGCAGAGTACGTTTTACAGGCACTACGTCAGATGAAATAAAAATTACCCCTCAAATAACGCATGCGTCTTCTCAATATGTATTAAAGGTGACATTATTCCGCTCAGTACGATGTCATCAAATTAATTTTAAGGAGGTTAGAATCTGGAGATGATTTTGGTCCCAGTTCGCAGTTGTTTTTTTGCTTTGTTTTGTTTTTTGTTTTTGGCCTATACATCGCCGAGCTCGAGTAGCGTACGTTGAATTCCAACAAGGAGTCTTCTGCAAAACCCGGGGCACAAGGTAAACATTTCCAACATTACTGCCGTCTTTAGATCACGAGTGTCCCGCACGAAGCAGGCAGCACAATGCGCGAGGTAAATCTCACCCACTTCGATGAACACGACCTTTCATCATCAACCGCACCGGCCCCTCCCCCGGCCCTCCCTGCGTTCAGCCGTTGCCACGGGGGCAGCGGGCAAGTCATGACCCCCGCATCCCACCCTCCTGGGCGAGCTCCTGCAGCAGCGCCCTCCCCTCCCCGGCGGCGGCAGCTCCCGCCGCAGGTCCATTGTTCGGCTGTCTCGGCACCGGCGCGTGCCCAGCGGCGCCGAGATACCGCAGCGCGGCTCCATTAACCATGAGGGCGGCGGGCGGCGCGTGCCGTCGCGTCTCGGCGCCGATCAGCCGCCGCGTGCCCTGCCGATCGGCCGCCACGTCCGCCCGCGATTAGCGACCAGGGCCGGCTCGGTGATCAGGCCATCACACGGGCAGGTGACAGGCTCGCGGTCACGCGCACAGCCGGCCCGTTTGCGGTGCTGTGTGCACTCCAGACCGCGAGAGAACTCTAGCACTCGCACTCTAACGCGACAGTTCGCGTTAGAGTGCGCGGGCCGGCGTCAGTGCGCATCAGAGTGCCGCAGCCCGCAGCGGTCGACATCGGCCGGCGTCAGTCCACGTCAGGCGGCATCTGGCAGCGTCAGTCTGCATCAGACTGAAGCTGCTTTCTCCTGTTGATGTCAGGCCGTGTCAGTCCGCACTGTTCTCCACGGGCCTCCAACAGCATCGTCCGCACTGTCTTGCGTCAGTCTGTGACAGCCCGCACCAGATCGCACCAGTCTGTATCCGTTCTCACCAGTCTGTTTTAAGAGTCGTCATTTCGCCGGCACACTGCATTCAGCTTGCAAAACGCAATATGGTGATGGCGTGCCGGCCAAGCTCGCTGTTTGAAGATATCAAGCGGAAAATATGTGCGACGTCATCCGCCGGACGAAAACAAATAATTCCGTGCAGTTTAGATGAAAAAGTCACGCCAGTAGGAATGCGCACGAAACGTTGTCCTGCCGAAAAAAGCAAGCCTCGGCTGGGTTTTTATATACACTTGGAAGGGGGAGGGGTATTGATCATGGCTTCACCTCGACAATGCACTCACCCTGGACTGAAAGTTGCTAAGCATGCGCTGGGCATCCCATCTTTACATACAAAGGCAGGGCTCGAGCGTTTTTGCACGCTTTCAAGAACGTCGCTGGCGTTTAGGTCAAACGCCTCAGGACCTTAGGAGCTTGTCAACAACGTTGGAATGTGCCACTCCTGCACAACTTGCAGTCATGATGAAAGGGTTCAGGCGCACAAGTTAGGACAAAGCTATTTATATCCCACAGGCAATGCTTTAGGCTAAAGCAAGCTGCTCCGTTTTCCCGGACGCAGGGCGAGAGTTTTGAACCGTTCGTGATCCTTTTTTGAAGGGAAGGCGACACTTGGCGTTGTGGACCTTGTTATGGAGCATCGGCGACGGCAGTGTCCGCACTGGCTCTCCTGGGCAGTCCCCAGCCGAGAGCGTAGTTCGAGACCCGCACGTGGGAGCTGAGGGCTCCAACTACTCGACCACGGCGCTCCCACTTTGAAGGGCTCGACTGTTTTTTTGTGCGACAATTGATAAACTAGCATTTACATACTTTTTGACGACCATGCTGTTTTGTCAAATGCAGTTAAAAGATCAGTTCAAGCTAGGTGAAATGTTCGAAATGGATTATTTTTCGTGGAAAGCTGTTTGTCTGGCTTGACTCGATTCTACACATCAGACATCTTATCAAGCGG